TGGTGAATGCACTGGAGAAGACGGTCCGTTTCTAAATCTTTTGTAGCACATACATTCTTTTAAAATGGATGTTCGAGATGGTGAACACTCAAAAGTTTGTTTGGCAAGGTTGCCTGGATTTGCTTGCGTTGTAGTTTGGCTATGATTGAAGGTATTAATGAGACTGTGAAATTTCGAAAAATGTTCCTTTGACAGAAGAAATCTGAGAAAGTGATGTGTTGATGTAAGTCGTAACTCATCTATCTCAGATATCACAAGATGATGAGGCTAAACGTTTAATCGACTCCGTAGATACCGAATGGCGTCGGTTTCTAGTGGTGCACTGCTTGCGACTACTTTTTGCTCCTATTATTGAACAGATTGTTATCACGGACCGAGTACGATATCTAGAAGAGCATGGGCACTCAGCGGCTGTGGTTCCCTTGTTTGATCCGGAAATGTCGCCCAGGAATTTGGCTATCATAGCGCGGAAGATATAAGAATTGTCGTAAAAGAACTTTGGGCAACTTAGAGATGTGATCGTAATATCTTGTTATCATGAAGAAAGTCCATATGCTTGTAAAGCCATTTTTGCTAGGTTTTGCTATGATTAAGCATGTATACTGTTTTCCACAAATACAAACGAGAACTGGCCTTATGTTGTTCATAGCAACATTGTCCCCTTTTTTGAAGACTGTTTTAAAAAGAATTGAACAGCAAAAAGATGTGCTCTTTATTGAAGACTACTTTTTCATGTATTAATGCTCGCCTCAATAATATAGCAAGACAAACAGTCTTACCAGAATATTTGTGCATAGAATTTTGGTGCTTGTTGCTTCTTCTTCACAGCGTTTTGGTTGATGATTTTTGTTACATGTAGAATGTGAATACGTATGCTTATCTTATCTGCCCGCTACCATTTCTTCCTGTAATTAGAATCAAAATTAGTTTTAAGTGCCCATTATTTTCATAATGATTCTCTTTTTTTGATACAAAGGTTTTTTTTTTCTTTTGTTATTATGTGCCCAACATCTTCATATTGAGCCTGTGACAACAGTGCGATTCGTTTATGAGATTTTGGTATATTGAAAGGTTATTATTTTTAACGTATCACTTTCGACAATAAAAATTTGTCCTTTTAATGTGTCTGTGTATATATTTGCTTGAGAATCTAGTCCTTGAAATGTGTCTGTGTATATATTTGCTTGAGAATCTAGTCCTTGAAATGTGTCTGTGTATATTTGCTTGAGAATCTAGTCCTTGAAATGTGTCTGTGTATATATTTGCTTGAGAATCTAATTTGACCTCTTTAATTCAATGGAGTGCTTTGAGTAAACTCTAATTTGTTCTTCTTCGAGAATTGGGAAAATGTCAGAGCTCAGTTATTTATGTAAAATAGGAGCAGGACTATTATGCTATATTTGACGAAAAAAATTCTCATGCTAACAAAACGAAATTTCGGTACCCTGATGCTTGAGATGAAGGCAAAAGATTCGACTTACAAAGGTCCATGAGCTGAAACGTAGTACATACACAAGCTTTTAGGCTTCTCCCTCTTTCTGCTTCTTCGTTGTATTCCCTTAATGCAAAAACATGAACTATATGTTGTGGACAGTAACGCATACCACTACTATTCCGCTCTATCCGTCGGGATGGGGACAATTCTGCTTATCACGAAGCAAATGGGTTCCTTTATCAATAAGGAGATGTGTTAGAAACGCATAGTGGCTGACTGAGACAAAAACACCAAAACGTTGGTGATAGCTAGTAGGCTAATGTTATCATAACCTCAACATCCATAATTTTGGAAAATGCATTGGAGTACTGCAGCGCATCTTAAGCGCAAGTTCTAAATTTGTAAACCGTCTTGTGTGCACACAAAGACGTCTCCACATTTTTCTTATTGTAAGAAGCGGACGATGGCTATTTAAGCATAGTAGCCTTGGCATAATACACTGTACGGAAATGCAACTTTATGAGCATAATACAGCAGAGCTTATACGCTCAATAGAAATCTCTCAATGCTCTAAGTCTTGCACTCTTGTCCAAATTGAGCAAACTTTCCAATATATGTGGAAAAACTCCTAGTTGTCCTGCCTAGCGGTTCCCATCTCTTCACGCATCAACGATGAGTCAGCAAATCAGAAATTCTATTTCGCGCCACCAGCGTGTCGCGGGAAATCGTAACATTCAAAAACATTCTTCCCAATAAATGCTCAACACCCCTTATCTGGACATTTCGTTGTTTTTTCTGAGAGATTTTCAACTACTATCCAGTGTATATACGCATTTTGAATTAATTCATGGCAATACTGCATCAACTACAAGTTTTCTCTTCGTATATTGTTTGTATGCTTCAGACTTTATCCCTTCTAGCATCTGTATATGGCAACTGTAAATATTCGTGGTGTGGACGTGATGTTCCCTTTTTCTCCGTATCAATGTCAAATAGCGTATATGGATAAAGTTATAGAGGCAATCGAAATGGTATGTTAACACCTCCAAAGTTGCATTCTTCTACTTTATTTGCTTTATTGTGATTATATTCAGAAGTTTGATGCAGCTTTGGAATCGCCAACAGGCACTGGAAAAACTCTTTCTTTATTGTGCTCAACTTTAGCATGGTTGCAGAGGCAGAAGTTGAAGATGCAAGCCTCTTTTGGAGAAGTCAATGCTGCT